ATATGTGGTTCCATCCCTGAAGCTGTTTCTTTGACAGAAGACACACGATTCCTATTCCTTTCCTGTTTGAAAGGACGGCTGAATAAACAGGACCTCAAACTATGTCAAGAACGATTTTCAGACTCAGTGTTGCTTAGGTTTTGGCAACGGAAGGAAAGCCAGCGCTGCCTGCCTCTTTGTGTGCAGCTCTTAGCCCTGTCTCTATATGCAGTGACCTCTTCTGTGTGGCTAACTGTGCAGGAGACTTCAGTTTCTCCTTGTGCCTGACGTCCTTTCATGGACATGTCAGCTGCCATACATAGATGCCTATTTAAATCCAGCATGTGAGGGCATTGTTCAGATGGAGTGTTCAAGATTTTAAAGAAACAGAATGGAGGGAGGAAGGGAGGAAGGAAGGGAGGGAGGGAGGAAGGAAGGGAGGGAGGGAGGAAGGAAGGAAGGAAGGAAGGAAGGAAGGAAGGAAGGAAGGAAGGAAAGAAGGAAGGAAGGAAGGAAGGAAGGGAGGGAGGAGCCTGTAGCCTACATTAAGGGTTACTTAGTTATTTGAGGAAGTAACAACTTAAATGGGATAATGTGTCTACTATAGAGTGCTATGGAGCTTTTAAATGTTAAGAAAACAATATGTATATATGACAGAGGATCCCAGACTTAACAGTAAATGACATTTTTCAAGTCTATGAGGGTACAAAAAGCTACCTACACTCAGCAGAAATGGTGGTTACAGTGTTGAACTGGGGTCTTTTTCTGGGCTAGTGACTTGCGCAATTGTACTTTATAACACAAAGGCAGTGAGCCACAGCTCCCACTCAGCCACTCAATCACACGGGTGAACCCCTGGTATTCTCTAGGACACTGTGTTGCTAGGATACTGTGTTGCTAGGATACCATGCTGCTAAACCCAAGATGTATGGTAGATTACATATATCATTTCCAACTTACAGTATTTTCAGCTCATGATGGGTTTCTCAGGCTGTGGCATCAAGTTAGGGGTTAGTATTTTACCCTGTTGCCTCATACAAGGAGAGTTGGAAGAGAGCAAAAGACCCCGAGATGAAGGTAAATGTATCTGCCTTTGTACATCATGAGTAGTGGTGTGGCAGCTCACACGTCTTCAGTACTGACTACATTCATGATACACTGAGTTGCTTTCAGGGAGGAAAAATGAGAAACTCCTTGAGCCTAAAGAAATCCATACACTGAGTTACAATTTTCTACAGGGCTGTCTTTGTTCCTGTTTCTTAGCTCTTTCTCATTACCCATCCCCTCTGTCATTTTATGTTCGAATACACAGAAACCTGTGGCAGTGGCAATGGTGAAAATAATTGTTGTCCCTTCCTGATCCTGACTTTCTGAGGCTGCAAATAAGCTACCTCAGGGGACCACTCAGTACCGTGGTCTCTAGATAAAAGCAGCAGTTGGAAGATGTATACTAGGAATGTTTACTTTATATTTATTTACTTATTTATTTGAAGTGGGATCACACACACACCGCTGTTTATGTGTGGGAATCAAAGGACAACTCCAGGGGGCGGGTATTGAACCCATGTTTTCAGGTTTGGTGGCAAAGTGCCATCATCCACTAAGCCATCTCACCAGCCCTACTAGAGAGTGTGCCATCCATACAGCATGAGTTTTTAAACACAAAACAATACCCCAGCCTCCTGAGATACATAAAATGGGGTGCAAATACATATACATATGCAGCATGTACAACCCATATATATATATATATATATGCAGATTACACCCTTTTCATGGTATCTAAAAGACATTAGATACCCTAGACCCACCTATTCCAAGATTCATAGGTGCTCAAGTCCCCCATATAAAATGGTATAGTATTTTCATAGAACGCATGCATAGCAGGCACATGCTCTGTATTGATAACCTACAACTAATGTCACATAAATGCTGTATAAGTTTCCTAGTAGAAAGTCATGATATGTCAAAAACCACAAACACCGCGCCTATTCAGTGCACACAGTATAAAATAGTATGGAACCCTAGGATAAAGGCTGACCACGTGCAGTAATTAAAGGAAGGAAAATAGTTGACAACTTTTACTAGTCTCCTGAGGACCCATGCCTTAGATAGGTTTAAAAAAATCCAGGCTCAAACTAGTTGTGTGTGTTTTGCTTTAGAGTCTTGAATAGGACTTTTCTTTCTTTCTTTTTTTTTTTTTTTTTGAGGAAAATGGGCCACATACAGAATTGTCAGATCTTTTTTAAATCTGGAATCAATTCAGAGGCTCTTTCCCTTGAATTGTCACACCTCCTTTTAGTCTCCTTAGCTGCAGTTTTTAGGTACCCAAGTCAGAATCCGTGTGCGCAGCTCACAGCTCCTGCCTCTGGCAGCTGAGACAGGAAGACAGACGGGCTGCATTCTGTTCCCAGGACAACGGCACCGCCTTCCCACACATGGGCACTGAGACGCCGTCAGGCAGGCATAAGGGTCAGATGTCACTGCACACCTGGCTCTGTCTGAACTACAAAAGGCTACCTTCCTTCCGTGGAAGGCCTCCTTACACACTGCAGTTTTTCACTTGAATTCCTGTGAATTGACTAAGTTGAACTCTAAGGCACATATTTTCTCTACCACCCCTACCCTCCTCGTTTTCAACCTTGTGTAAGTGGCTTATGTGCTCAATGTAGATTGTGATTCGATTTGATTTTATAATAGAGTAACTAGTATCAAGTAAATTCCATGAACATAATTGCTTTGTGGTATTATTTAAAAATAAAGACAAGCACAAAATAAATTAACAAACCCACCGTTGTCTACCTGTACACATCCTACATTCTTTTAAAGTATTCCTAGCTAAGTGAGTCTAGATATGTGGGGTAAACAGGACAGACCCGTGTATCTTGGGATGAACATAGCCAACTATGTGTGTAATAGTTAAAAAAAGAAAATTCGTTTATAACTTTCACTCATCATTGAATAAACCAACTAACCCCAAATGCCCTGGCTCAGACACACAGTGTTTGATTTCTGGCATCCATCTCGGTGTCATAGCAGATTCTCAAGCTAAACTGCGTGGCTGTAGCTGTTACTGCCATGGAACCCTCTTCTATTGTTCTAAAAATAAATTTGATTATTAGTTATTTCTATCCAGTGTATGTGTTTATTGACTCAATCACAAAGCCTTCACAGGCACCTGCCATATGTCAAGGTAGCTCCTAGTTAAAGGGAAATAGTGTCACAAACACTCATACACACACACACACACACACACACACACACACACACACACACACACGAGATCTCTTCCCTGCACTAGGTCAAGGCATATAGCAACCCAAGCAGGCCCGAGATCGATGCCCGCTTAAGCTTATAGTCTTGAAGTAAAAAGTTTCATTCATTGACAGCTGCTTTTTCTGAGACAGGTTGGCCCTCTGGACACATGCAATTCTGAGAACGTGTTACAAGGGGTTGTGAGTGGCACAGGACATGGCAGGTGGTGTGTATTGGACAGTGAGCAGAGTGGGCCCATCAGAAGTGCCACTCAAATCAAAATGCTGATAGTAGTGAGGAATAAAGGATATTCCCCCAGAGTGAAGCTTACTGTAGCACAGGGGAGGGTGATGGGGATCCTGGGGGCAGTGGCCTCTCTTGGGAGGTCCCTAGCAAGTCAGTACTCACTTAATAAATTACACCACAGAATCAGAGATCCTTTGGCAGAGCGGAACTTACTTCATCTTGGCTATAGTGCCAGGCTTGAATGGGTGCTCTCCAAAGACAGCCATCTTGGTGACTTCCCACACACGTGCTTCCTAATCTACCTTTACTCGTTCTGAAGGCTTAAGGTTCCTTGTGGGAGAAGGATAGAGTATTTGAAATCCTATGTTTCTGTGTGTTAAGTGCCCAGCACTAGGTGGGATGGACATGTTGGGAGCCCCAAGAGTCTTGACTGGGCTTCGAGGATGGAAAGGCATTTGAAGGTGCTCTGGAGGAGGCGGTCACAATATGGTTAGAAGACTTACTCCTCTAAGAAGCTTTTTCCCTGCATGATTGCACTTATAACAGGCAGGGAGATGTTTCTGGATCCAGTTTCAGGAAATCCTGTCTGAGTTGAGATGGCGCCCATCAGGTTTTCCCCCCATTTAGCAGGTCCATCTTTGCCATGGATTCTTTCCACCACCATATTGTTCTCTTTCACTGCCTTTGTGTTAAAGATGAGTAGCACTAAGAGAGTGAACTGTCTCATTTTCTTGTGTTTAGATGTTGTACCCTGTTCCTGGGAGAGTTCTCCAGGCTTCAACTATCTTGAAAACATGTAGAAAATTCCTTTCACACGTCAGCATGTCTTTGCTCTCATGTACAAAAACATACTCTTAATGTAGGACAGGGTCGCATAAGCACCATAGTGGGAAGTTAGCAACTGAAAATGCCCACTGAGGCTTTGCAGCAGCAGAAGATGTGCCCCCATGCTTTGGGAAGCCATCAAGTGGAAAATCAGTTGTGATAAACACAGGAAAATGGCATCAGTGGTGAACTTCTGATAGAGAGCAGCTGGGTCTTCATAGTGTGATGCCCAAGACATTGTAGGATTTTCCCTGGAGATTGTGTATTGATTTAAGGCAGCTACATCTCATGAGAAATTATCTCTTTCAATTCGGAGTTAGGATATCTCAAAAGGAATAAAGCTGTGTGTATTTGCCTGCATGTCGATATGTGCTCAGTGTGTGTGCCTAGTACCCACAGAGGCCCAAAAGAGGGCATTGGGTTCCCTGAAACGAGAGTTAAAAATGGCTGTCAGACGTCATGTGGGTGCTGGGAATTGCATCTCCGTATGCTGCAAGTGTAGCAAGTTAACCTCTGGGTCACCAGTTTGCCCTTTTTTGTCCAGACTTGATAAAAAAAAATGTTATTAGTGTTTCCATGCTAGCAATAAAACTATCAAGTGACTTTCTCCAAGCTTTGTACCACTAGCTGGGTGTTTGTCCAAAGGTGTCTGAGTCATCTTTGTCACCACAAAGCTTTTTGTTCTTTCTCCTTAGTCTGATGCCAACGCAAGTTACTTGAGAGCAGCTCGGGCGGGACACCTGGAAAAGGCCCTCGACTACATCAAAAATGGAGTGGACATCAACATCTGCAACCAGGTCAGTTGTGGTTATTGTTATTGACTGGTATTTCAGTTGAAACTCTCCGATGCCTTAAAGTATTTGTTAAATATTGGCAAGGGTTTTCTCCATTTGTCAGGAGGTTGATTTCATTGATGTTAAATTTTGTCAGTCCATTGTTGTCAGAGGAGAAGCGGGAATGCTAATGATTCCTAATACTTAATAAGTAATGCCCCCCCCAGTTTTCATATTTTATTTCCTTTCCACAGTCCCTTGCGGCACACACATGGGGGTCATTTGTAGGGACATCTGAAGCACCGTGGACCATTGAACACTCAGTTTTCAGTTCTCTTTTCCTTCACTTTCCATCAGAATGGGTTGAACGCACTCCATCTTGCTTCCAAAGAAGGCCATGTGGAAGTGGTCTCTGAGCTCCTACAGAGGGACGCCAATGTCGATGCAGCCACAAAGGTCAGTGACATGGGCTCAATGCTTTCGGTGCCACCTGCCTGGTTCTATAAAGGGCCAACCCTCAGTAAGAGTAAGGGTATAATCCTCATGAGCTGTTGGTCAGCTCCATTATCTATGCATCACAGGAGCACTGAGCAGACTATGAGCTCATGTATCTTGCCTCTTGTTTCACAGAAAGGGAACACAGCCTTACACATCGCATCGTTGGCCGGGCAAGCAGAAGTGGTCAAGGTCTTGGTTACGAATGGAGCAAACGTCAACGCACAATCTCAGGTAAACCTACACCTGTATTGCAAAGGACCTTGGCTATCATTTGCCAATAAGACTTCTAGACCAAGCATTGTCTTGAGTTGCATGTCAGCTAAGCTGCAAGCTTGATTTTTATCAAGTAGTTGTCAAAGTTTATTGAACTCATATGTGTGTTTATGTATGATATGTCATGAGAGGTAGAATTTCCAAACATGGTCCACCTCGGAAAGGCCATGACTGACAGGTCCACCTATGAATGGCTGTGGCTGATGATCACACACAGATGTCAAATAGATGTTTGAAATGGTGCCTTTAAACTGTTTTACAACACCATCTAACCTGGGTTCCGTCTCACGTTGCTAGTTTACACGGGAAATGAAGAACTGTATAAGTAAGAGAAGGCTTCAGGTTTTTCAGAGTGCATGGTTCTTCATTAGTTGGACACTGGAAGAAACTTCTTAATCCCTCTAGACCAATGAAGTCAGCATTGTTGCTAACCGAAACAAATAAACTACAAAAGAAATAAGTAAATAAATAAACCCAGAAACTTTAAAAATCTCCCATCTTTAAAGTGTTCAGACTATTTGTACTGAATGTAAGTCCCACTGTCATTTCTGATGTCCTCGAAAGAGCACATAGATTGCCTAACATCTTAGCATTTGAATCTAAAAGAATTAGCTTTTCTACTTCACTGGTTTAAAATTACGGGTACTCATAGTCCAATCATTGGCATTCACGCACAGCTCCCACAGAGGTCTTACCTCCTTTGCCCTGTTTCTTGTGGCAGCATCTGTCCCTAGTCAGTGGTGCCACCAGGGGGAAGGGCGTTGAACGTATTGATCACAGAACAAACCTGCAATTTTGCCCATGATCCAGGATTTAGTGAAGTCAGGGATGATGATACTAAGGGATTATGGGGCCCATGGTTCTTACAGTGAAGATGGGATTTCCCAGCACCCTTGGGATCAGAGGCTTGGGAAGAATTAGGTTGGGTTCCTGTTGGACCTTTGATGTGAGACTAATCTGAAAATTAAAAGATTAAGTGGAAATGGTGAGATTTTGAGTTCTCTAGTGTTTCTTGCAAGATTCATGCTGTGTAAAATAGAAGGTAGTGAGGAAAGCGTAGGTACCATGATTTTATTGGAAAAGTTAAACTTGGTCACTTTTTAGATCACATTTCATTTAGTCTTTTTGTGCATGCCAGGGAACTATTCTGTCAATGAACTATGACTCCAGCCTTTCAGGTTCTTTTTTATTTTTATTTTTTGCATTCTCAAAGCCTTTTGTGATTATTGTTCACATGAGCTTTCTTTCAGAATTTTGTCTTTGACCTTTGAGAGAAAGACTCAACATGCTTTAAAAAACAAATGTATTATACTTTTTATTTGTGTGTGTGTATGTGTGTGTGTGTGTGTGTTTGCCCACTAGTGGAGGTCAGAGGACAATTTGTGGGAGTCAGTCCTCTCCTTCCACCATGTGGGTCCTAAGGACTGAACTCTGGTCATCAGACTGGGAGGCAGTTGTCTTTACTCATTGATCCAAAGCACACTTTTTTTAGTAGTTACTTTGGCCTTTTGGTCTCTATGTTAAGTATGCTTGGTTCATTGTCTCTGGGCATCTTTGGCTGATGAACCTCTTGGGACATCTGCAGAATTACAAGGATCTACAGCATCACTGTGAGGTCAGCCCTAGCCTAGTGGTCATCAGTGCCAGGGAAGTAAACACACTTAGCTCCCAGAGACAAGGTCCCTTGCTCTCCTTTCTTTCTAGTTCCCTGGGCTTGGACCTTTTGTTACAATGTCTGTGAGAGTTCACTTTGAATGGTATTGCTTTTCAAGAAAGCAAGGATATAAAAATTAAAGTTTAGCCAATAACCCTTTCAGATACTAAGAAGTCAACTACCAAAGAAAAAAGAAAAACATTGTGCTTTCAATTTTTTAGTTACACTTATTTATGTGGGAGGAGAGGGGGCATGTGTGAACTAGTTCACACACATGGAAGTCAGAGGACAACTTACAAAGTCAATTCTTCCATCTCACCATCTGGGTCCCAGGGATCCAACTCAGGAAGCCAGGCTTAACAGTATAAACACTCACCAGCCGAGACATCTCAACTGCCTGCATCATACTCTTAAGCTGATTCCCCCCTCCAAAAAATTACTATAATTTTGTCTACTGAGAAATAACTTAGAGTTATTAGTGAGCCATGAGATTGTGGGGAAATATTTTAATTCATTTCCAATTAGAACATCTCCTTCAAAACTTGCACACATTCCTGATTATGTCCGAAGGCAGCCACAGCTATAAACCTGCTATGCCATAAGTGGGAAAACTGTGGTGGGGATGAAGCCTGAGTCTTTTTTAATTGAATTTATACACGTTCCACACTGATGATGCTGTGAGGGCAAGAATGCAGCCTGGGAAATTCTTTCTTGCAGCTGTGCTTGGAAGGGAATCCCCATCACACACTGAGCAACACAGCTCTCCTCCATCAAAAAATGTTTGCCTCCTGAATACACCATGCTGTGGCTAGAAGGAACATTGAGGTGACCTTGCTGTAGAGTCAGAAGGTTGTAAGACAGTTCCCCATAGCAACTCTTGAGTAGGAAGTCTGCAAAGATCAAAAGGCAACAATGCTATAAAAGAAGATTAAATTCAAGCTGACACTGTAGCTCAGTGGGTAGAGTGTTTGCTTAGCATCCATGAAGCCTGATGTTCAATCCCAGCACCACATAAACTACTTGTGGTTCATGGTTCTGATCATTGGAGGCAGAAAGGTCAGAAGTTCAAGGTCATCTTTGACTACATAGCAAGTAAAGGCCAGCCTGAGCTAAATAACATTTTTTCTTAAAATTAAGTGTTTCTTTAAATGGAGATGTTATTCATCCACACAACAACACTTAAAACATGGAGATGTTCACATTCAAGACACACAGACCACTTGTGCAGGCACGTATCTGTAATGTCAGCACTTGGGAGTCCAGGGCAGGAGGATCATGAGTTCTAGGTTGAGGAGAGACTGAGGGGGCAGGTAGGATGATGGGTTTCTAAGTGAAATCTCAGCTACAAGACATTTCTTAAAATGTAAGAAATAGTTAAGAGTGGGCAGGTGACTATTCAGTGACAAAGGTACCTGCTACTGAGGCTGATCTCAGTTCAACCCCCAGGACCCTCATGGTAGAAGGAAAAACACTTGACTCTTAGAAGTTGTCCTCCTCTAACCTTTATTCTCTCTCTCTCTCTCTCTCTCTCTCTCTCTCTCTCTCTCTCTCTCTCTCTCTCTCTCTCTCTCTCTCCCTGCCTCCCTCCCTCCCTCTCTCTCTCTCTTACTCCCCCCTCTCTCTCCCTCTCTGTCTCTCTGTCTCTGTCTCTCTCTCTCTCTCTCACACACACACACACATCACACACACACACAAATAATAATAATAATAATAATATAAATTTTCCTTAAAATCTTAAAAGAAATACTTGAGAATCCTCTCCTTGAACATAACAAAAATGTCACAGTCCAGCATTGGAATTCTGTTCCTATACATTTGGATACCATAACTAATCTAGGGTTTTTACTTTAAATGAGGTTTGGTTGTTGCCTTGATCTCAAGTCTTAACAATTATTTAGTTCTTCCTTGAGTGACTTCACATTCCTGTGGCCTCTTTGCTATACCTTAGGAAAGAAGCCAGGCTGGGGAGACGGCTCAGCCGGGAAGGAGTTTGGGTTCTTAACACCCACACAGGTGGGCATGACAGCCTATGTGGAATGCTAGCACACAGGAGGGTAGCATCAAATCCCCAGAGCAAGCTGGGTAACTGGACTAGCCTAACTCCACACATCCCGTTGGCTAACTGAATCGTAATTATGGAACTCAATATAACAGTAATACACAGTGTTTACCATTGAAGACAGTAAAACTGTTCAGCACAAAGGCTGACATCCCTCTTCTCTCCTCCTCCATTGTCTGCAACCAGAGGCATAGCTGATTGTGTTTATTCAGGTAGGGTTTGCCTCTGGTGGTATTTTGGCCACACACACACACACACATACACACACACACACACACACACACACACACACACACACACATATATATATGTATATATATATATTTGTTTTGTTTTTCATGACAGGGTTTTTCTCTGTAGCTTTGGAGCCTGTCCTAGAGCTAGCTCTTGTAGATCAGGATGGTCTGTAGCTCACAGAGATCCGCCTGTCTCTGTCTCCTGAGTGCTAAGATTAAAGGCGTACACCACCACTGCCCAGCTAGATATATTTTTATGAACAAGTTTTTTTTCTAGTGTTAAAAAAGGCAAAATACCTCAAATCAAATGTATTCTTGTGTCCCCTTGAGGGTTTACCCCACATCCAGATGTTCCCTGTGTTACAGGAGCTAGATTTTTCACATTCAGACATGCAGGTGTCTGAGATAGATGCCCCCTGACTTTTGACCTTTAATCTGACTTTCATAGACCTCAGTATCATACAGGATTCAGCAAAATACTTTATAGTGTGGAGTAGTTGGCTACGATGAAGAATGTATGGGAAGTTTCCATTAGTGGAAGAGATGTCCCTCAGTCACTGGGTTTGGTTTTTGTTTGGTTGTTTGGTTGGTTTTTGGTTTGGTTTTTTGTTTGTTTGTTGAATTTTTTTGCCTTTTACTCTGCCAAGTAGGGTGTGATGGAGCATGCCTCCATGCTCTCTGCAAAATGATTAGTGTGCACATTTGCATGCATATAATAGCCCCACTGTAAACACTGAGAGCAGAAGGTATTGGAGATAGTACATAAAAGCAGACTTTAAATAGCACACTGGCTGCATCTTAAGCAGCCCTTCCCCAGGAGACTTAAATCTATTGTTGCCATAGAGAAGAAAATGTAAATTGAGCTTCAGTATGTTCCCCCCACCACCGTTTTTTTTTTTTAACCAGCTTTGTTTTGAAAATTTCCTAAGCTTTGAAATGAGCATGAAAATGGAGAAGGAACATCTTTCTCCAATCTGGCCATCCTGAGTCCAAGTGTCTTTTCATCAATAAGTGTGATAGCTATAGGCTATCCCATGGTGCTGCAATGAATTATGGGAGGTGCCTGGGCTAGCGACTAGTGGAAAGATTTTTAGTCAGTCTCTCCAAAAGACAGTTGTAGATCCTTTATTGATAGATAACAATATTTGTGTTAAAGGAGCAAAAATGAACTCCAGCAAAAGAAATTTCTACAGAGTGTATTGACATTGGATTGGGGTCACTGAGAACAGGGTCTAAAGAGGAGTCAGAAAGTTCTAGAACATAGAAAACTAGAGTGGAAGATAGGAGATCCTAGCCAGAACCAAAGAGTAAGAGAGCCCTTTGGTGCCATCCCTTGAGGTTAGGGGCAGAGACTGGGGGGAACTTGGCTCAGGAGAGAAGGCTAACAGGCATGCTTGTCCATGCATCTACACCATCATCAGAGAGGAGCAGACATGTCTATCTCAGTGTCCTTCCTGTAGAGCAGGGAAGAGTGATTCCCCGAGACAAGATAAACAAGACATTGCCAGATGAGAGAAAAATGGATAGGTGCTATTGACCATCACCAAGGCAAACTAAAATGCACATGCCAAGTGCTCACTTTAAACTCGAAATGTACATTGGATAGGATACTTTTCATTACCATGAAGCCATGAGTGAGAAAAACAAAGAAGTTAAGTTGAGCTCAGGGTTGCCTGAGTACTGTTTGGGGGCCCTGAGACTACGCAAAACCTCATGGAAGACAACATGTGACTGAACCCAGCTGCTCACCTTCAGGCAGCCATAAAGCAGAAGGAAATTAGAAAGAGCTAAATAGAAATAGAAATATAAACATCTGCTTCCTCCCACCAGACCCCACCTCCATGCTTCCCACCACCTCCGAAGAATGCCATCAAATACAGATCTGTAATGGATTCATCCATTGATTATATTAGAGTTCTCATGATCAAATCACTTCCCAAAGCCCTCTGAACATTTAAATTGGAACCAAATATTTAACCACAACCCCTGAGGGGACATTTGGTATTGAAACTGTAGCATTCTTGTGATGGAGGGAAGCACACACCCAAAATAAAAACAATAAGACAACAACAACAAAAAAACATTTTATCACTATGGATAGCAGGAAGACCTTAAGACCCTTTGGGGCTCCATACAGTGTGATCTCCTTTATATGGAATGTGCAAAGGAAACAAAGCTAAGGAAACAGAATAGAGATGGGTGGTTGCCAAGGTTACAGAAAAAGGCAGACACTGAAAAGTGGTACCAAGAGGTTCAGGATGAGGGGATGATATGGGTTAGTGTGACTGCATCTTGCCATGGTCTTGCTTGGCGAGGCTACTATCCCAGTTCTGTGAGTACACAAACCTCACTGAATAGTACATTACCTAAGGATGAGTTTTATGGAATGAGAGTTAAGTGTATATCAAAAACTATTTTTAGGAACCAGAGTCAATAGGAATGTGACTTTTGGAAAAGATTAAGTGTCTCAGGTATTAATGCTAGGAAGGTAAGCCCCTCAACAAAAGAGGGAGCCAGGTATGGTGTGATCACAAAACTGTGACCCCCAACACTGAGGAGGCAGAGGATCAGTAGTTTAAGGCTAGGCTTGGCTGTGTAGTAGACTCTAGGATAACCTGGGTACATGAGACCTTTCCTGTAAAACAGGAAGAGAGAAAGTTGTAGGAGGCAGTTATACTCAACCATCCCATTTTGCCTGTGGGTCTTCCTTTCATTGATCTGTGTAGTCACCTCTGTCATATATTTGAAGTGATTTGAGGTGAAAATAATTTCCTTCCAGAGATGGAACTGTTTGAAATGCCTACTTTTACATGAAAACATTACATCTTTATTTGAAATAGTGGTTGGTTCTTGGGAAATGTGACAACCGAACACATTTTTCTCCGTAGTAAAATATTTTATTCATGGTACTACCTCATCCATGGTTGATGACAAATGAGCTTGCTTGTTTACCTACTGTGTATAAGTTGCTATGTTTCTTTAAGACTACTAACTGTGAATACTGACTCTACACTTGTGTGATCAGCTGTCAAACTGTGATTATGGTCATGAATATGATATAGGCTGTGGCGCTCAGTTCTCTAATGACTATGAAGGTTTACAGTAAAGGATTATAAAAGTCATTTTATGTGAGCACTGCTCAGAATGCACATTTCAGTGCCAGCTTGGCAAGCAGCCCATGTGACACTCTGGTTTCTTCTTTTGCAGAATGGCTTCACGCCATTGTATATGGCAGCCCAGGAGAACCATCTGGAAGTTGTCAGGTTTCTTCTGGACAATGGTGCCAGCCAGAGCCTGGCCACAGAGGTGAGACACTTTCTGTTCTTATGAGTTCATGTGTTCAAAAGGCTTTTTGTAAGCCTAGAGCTAAGAATTTTCTCACCAGGATTTCAATGACTGTGGTGTGCTTTAACATGGTGACTCTTTCATGAGATGCCCTAGAAACTATTTTAAATCTTTGAGAATTCTCTCATTGCACAAATATTCTTTATCTGCTCAAGTGTCTTGTCTACCCTATAATTATGCTATCATTTTAATTTTTAACCTATTTTAGTAATAATAATTTTTGCCTCTTAATAATCTTGCCTCCAAGGCAACCAGTGTTTTGAAATATCATTTTAGTGAATATTAGATGTAAATGTGGTTTTTTCCCAAATTAGTGTTAGGCTAATTACAATGGTTGAAAACACACACACACACACACACACACACACACACACACACACACACAGTGTATTTCTAAAGTTGACTAATTAGATTTAATCCATACTTCCAAATAAAACCATTATACACATTTAATTACCAAATAGCAGTGGTGTTTGTAGGGGGAAGATTTTCTACATTCTTGAATAGAAAAATTACTTGAAAAATAAAAAGTGACTTAAGCCTTGGAAATGTAGGTCTTTGATCTGCCTACATGCTTACCACTGCTTAAGCATGTCACTTAGAATCGGTTGCTAATAGTCAACTGATACTTGCAAATTCTTCATTTTCAATTCATTCAATGAATTCTAGTAGTCTGTCCAGCTCACTACAAAGTCACCTTCCTCTGGAAGGAAGCATAAGGGGCTGGCTATATCCTCACCCAGCTGTTGAGATTATGTTATCCTGTAAAACCAGCAAATGAATGAAGAGACAGTTCATACAGACAGGCAGACAATGACCAATGGGATGTGAATTAATCAGGGGAAGAAAATCCAATCTTTAGTCCTTGGGTTCAAAGGAAAAACTGCTGGGGAGAAGGAACCAGAATTTTCCTACAGTGTTGCTGAAACTGAAAAACAGAGCAACAGGTGTGTGTGTGTGTGCCTGTTGACAGTTAATGCTTGTCTTTGGCTGGTAAGACTGTGTACTACAGGTACAGTAGAGAGTATAAGAACAGTGTTCAAGACTGTTCATGTAACAAGTAACAGTTTCTAAAGCCTGAACAGTACCTAAATAATGTTGGTGTGCCCATCTGACAATATGCTACCCACCGTTATTGGAAAATGGACAAGACTGCACGTACTGATGGAGTAATATATGCAAAGTGCAGTCAAGGCATTGCTCCCTCTTCCCTTTCTATCCTCCATATACACTGTTGGGGATTACGTCATGAGAATTTATCGCCTATCTGAGAATATTGTTAAGCCTAGTTAAGAAACAGTTACTAAGAACTGAAGAGATGGCTGAGCCGTTAATATCACTTGCTGCTCTTTCCGAGGACCCAGGTTGTGTTCCCAGCACCCACATGGTGGATCGCCATTGTCTGTAACTCCAGTTTCCGGGGAACTGATGCCCTCTATTGGCCTTTGTGGGTGCTGCGTGCACATGGTACTTGATACATTGCAGACAAAGCAGGCTATCCACACAAAAAAATAAAAATGAATATATCTTTTTAAAAGAAACAATAAAGGGGGATAGTATTATCTTTTAGCAATTTAACTTTGTCTTAGTTTTTGTTCTTCTTTCTATGAAAGCAAAGTGGGGAGAAGATGGTTTACTTTACCTGACAGGTCACAGTCCGTCATTGAGGGAACTCCAGACAGGAGCCTGGGGGGGGAGGATACGCTATCTTTCAATACAGCACACCTGTGTCTTTATGGGTTGCTATCACAGTTTTTATAAATAAGATCTGATTCCCCACAGTTGATCCTTCAGGTGAATTACTTCTTTCTATTCTTTTTTTTTTATTTTAGTATTAGAGACCAAAGAAAATCGATACAAGTAAAATATTTTGTTCATAATCTACTCAAAATACAATATTTTCTATTAGCCATCCTTATTGGTGTCCTTTAAACAGGGTGCTATGTAGAGAGGGTAGTTGAAGGACATGTCAAATTGCAGGTTTTTAAACAGGATTTTTAAATTACTAAGTGATCTGCCAAATTTCCTTTTCTTTTCCGTCTTCTTGGTGTTGCTAAGGCTCCAACTCTGGGCTGGCTCTCTGCCAAATGCATGCTCCACTGCTAAGCTCTGCCACGGCCACATTTCTTTCACTGTATGTTCTTCATAAGTAGGACACACTTGTGTCAAGGGCTTGGGATGTGCTTATAGAACATTGTTCTCAGTTCCGTGCTGCGTATAGTATCTTTTGCAGTTGTTGCTCTCTTCTGTGTTTTACCACTCTGAAGCATGTGGTTAAATTTGCTTATTTTCACCACAAGCAATCATTAAAACCTCGGTGTGCATCGCACCTGCCATGTGGCAGTGATGTCATGGCTGGTACCCACCAGGGCCAAGCCCTTCTCTCAAGAAGTCTGGACACATTTCCTTTCTGAATAAACCAAAGCCAGAACTGCTATGGTTAGCAGTTAACAACTCGAAAAGGGGTCTATGGATCCTTAATTGCCTTAGGCGTAGAACACCATCTTATTGGTACTAATCGGATTATCTGCTATGCATTTCTTTAATGCTAAGTACTTCCTGATACGTGGGCTCTGCAATTTACAGTTTGTAACAGTGAAGATGGAGCTGTTGTTATGACTCCAAACAGCCCTAGGCTACTCTTATTCTGTGGTCTCAAAGTTTTTAAGTAAGGTACAAAGTTGACTCTTCATATGGCCCTACTATTATCACTCTCATCTTCAAAAAGTACGTGGGGATTCTGGATAGAGAATTCAGTGGTGGAGTGCTTGCTTGTCATGCACTGGGCCCCCAGTTTAATTCACCTGTACTGTCTCAATCACAAAAGACAATGAAAAGAAAAAGACTAAATTTTCTCTCAAGATAACACTTGATTCATTCGTCATCTTTGTACAGATGAGTGTGCTTGGATATTTATCTTTATGAAAATGAATCCTGCACTGACACTCATGAGAAGTAATCTTTTTGATTATATTGTGTTATATTCTATACTCCATGTGCATAAGGGTGAAGCTGTGGCTTCATCTTGCTGACATCTTGCTTCTGTCCTGCTTGCTGTCTCACTAAAAATGACAGGAGTGCCCCCTTGCTTTATTATTTTCTCAGACAGTAAAGTTCAGAGAAAGGGCTAACATGATCCTGTAGAATGGAGCATAGATGACACTTGAACATAGAAGGGAGAGAAAGGTCATCTCTGGAAGGAAGGTGCCATGGTAGGAACTCCTGCACACACCCACAGTTAGTGGAGAAACAGGTGGATGGGATCCATACAGGAAAAAAACTGGACAGAATTGTCCCGTACTGGCTTTGTCCAATATTTTGCACATCCTTGAATATGAATGCGGTGATTTGTTTTCTGTCTGGCAATGATGGAGGCATTTATCAGTTTTCCAGCAAAGGAGTGAATGATGAAAGCAATATCTTTGGAAAACCAAACTAGCCATTAGCATTCAAGAACCTAGTTTCCTCCTCGGCCTCACTAATGCTTTATTGAAATATTTGTACCAGAAGACTACGGAAATAATCATGGCCACAGTGAAAAATGATGAGAAACTTGCCTGTCTGCTCACTAGTCAAAATCATTTTCAGGGTCCCTTTGGGTGCATGGAAATGAAACCATGAGAGAAGTGCCGTGCGCTGCAGTCTTGGGGTGCTTTGTCTCAAGGTGTTTATTCTCCAGTGAGTGCACCACACCAGACACGATTGCATGAACCTCTGTGGAGTCTACAGCTGTCTCGTCTTTGTTACATCCCAGGGAACGCCAAAGGGCACAATGTGTAGAATGTACACATACATCCAGGTGTATTCTGAAATTCCATTTCACTCAACTCCTGGAAGCGGAGACACCTCAGCTCAGCTATGAGGAACACTGGGATGTGTTGGGTGAAGGGTCAAAGTGTCACACAGAAGGATTAAGGCTCATGGGGATCTGTCGCATTGCCTGGTGATTGTAGTTAGTCGTAGCATGTTGCATAGAGCACAGTTACTGGAAGAATGAATTTCTAAGGTTCTCACCATAAAAAAATATTAGGCATTTGAGATAGGGCGTGTGCCTAGTAACTTGATTATTCCACTGTGTTCATAAATCACAGCATCATATTATCCCTATAAGTATGCACAGTTGGGAAAACAAACAATAAAGTCAGTCTGCACGGTTGCTTGTCATTTCCCCTTGCTGGATAGAGAAGTCAAAAGCCTGTTATGTAAGCCTTTCTTGAGGTGGTAATGACCATGTTCCATCCATTGCTCTTCCCCAGGCATAGGCTCAGTCATAATGAGTACTTATCCCTTCTTTAAATTATCAGTGAGAAAGCTGACAACTCATTTGAACTCTCCTCTGAAAATCTTGCCTAGATTTCACTTGACAGTATTGTTTCATAAATATTGTTTTATGTGTACTGGCATTTGGACATCATGTAGCACTTTTACATATTTTCAATTTTTTCCAATTAGTGTATAATTAATTGCCATTAAGGAGAAAAATTCCCACACGGTAGAAATGTCATGTTTTTTTATTTGAATACATATCCATATGTAATTACAGAAGTATATAAGGAATTGGTATGTGCTTATGTGCTCTTAAATCTGCTGTTGGCATCAAAAGTCCTAAACAAAAACTGACCCTTGAGCATCCCGTTCCTTGCCTCCTGATTTGGTAATGGAATCCCACTTGGCCGATCTTGACGCATCCTTCTGTTCACAGGACGGCTTCACGCCATTGGCTGTAGCTCTGCAGCAAGGTCACGACCAAGTTGTGTCACTCCTGCTCGAAAATGACACAAAAGGAAAAGTGCGTCTCCCAGCCCTCCACATCGCGGCCCGGAAAGATGACACAAAGGCAGCAGCCCTGCTCCTGCAGAACGACAACAATGCGGATGTGGAGTCAAAGGTAGGGCCCGGACCACTCCAGCCTTTCACACCCCTGTCCTGAGTCAGGCAGGCAACCTGCAGGAACACATGGGCTCCCTTTCGGCAAGCTCGTGCCGAAAAAAAAGACATGACTTCGCTAAAAGGAATGAGAACCCATGCCAGCCAATTCAGTCACTCCCTGCCTCAAGCTGAGAAGCCAGAGAATGCTGTCCATGTCGCCTTGTGCATGCTAAAAGGGAGGCCACCTCCAGAGAAAAGGATTTCCATGCGTTTGCAGTTCCCTTCCTTTTCATACCACAACGGAATGTATTGAACAGTGCAGTTCAAACATCAGGTCAAAGTTACAAAAGCCTAGCGGTCGCGTGTGCAAACACGAGGGGTTGACCTCTACGGTGACAGTTCGCACAGCTAGGACAGATGAGCTGTGGAGAGCATGCCGCAGGGAGAGAGCCACAGCTGAGGACTCCTGTTGTCTTGCTTGCAAGTCTGTGTGGGGGAAATGGGGCGAGGGACTAGGTCTCTGTGTAGCCATTCTTTGTTGAGTCTAGCTTTCTTCCTGCATCCAATTTCCCTTCCATCATAGCTTTCACCCTCATCCTGTAGCTGCCATGAGCTTTCTGCAGTCCGTGTCACCGAGTGAACTAACCGTTCATTTTTTCCTCCTCTTTGCCTCCCAATGTGTTAACCTAGATGGTGGTGAATAGAGCAACTGAGGTATATATATGTATCTGTCTCCCTACTTGTATAACCGGGATCTGCCTCATCGCTTTCCATTTCCTAGGTTTGCTGCCTCATCCCCTCCCCCTCTTCTCTGCATTGCCTTCTGTAGGCTAGATTCCTGCTTCACCCAACCCTACCCTTGAAGGAGCATGTGCCAGAGCAGACAGCGGGTTAACTGCCAGGGCTTTCTGCAGCTGAACTTGGCATTGGGAAGGAAGATTCAGGAATCCTCGAAATACCTTTGGGTATCTGTAAACAGAGACGAAGCCCTCTGAGACTTTCGATGCTTGTCCGCTGTACCTGAAGCTGCAGACACCCCTGTCGCTCCACTCCTCCGGGTCTCAGTCTCTAGGGTTCTGCATGACACTTGCCCTCCATGGTGTCAGCAACAGGAGAGTTATTCAGAACGATAACCCACCTTCCTTCCATGAGAGGCAGTGATGGCTAGCATGGCTAAGAAGCTTGCTAACAAACTAGACACGCATCACCTCTTCTAAGGTTATGATTCGGGGTGGGGGAGTGAGATAAGTGAATCGCTGCATGTCTGGCATTTTTTTAAGGAAGTAAAACCACCATGGTAGAAAAGCACCCGTAAAATCGTGCTGCTGAGTAGGCCCTGGCTAACGAACAGATGAGCATCTGGATTCCTCGTAGAACGTGGCTCCCCTCAGTTTAAGAATCACCTCAATGGCAGAATACCTCTGCCCACCCCCAAATTGCTTTAGTCCTTAAGACTGACATTTACCGTTGGTTAGCCTGAGTTTATGTCATATAAAACTAACTGAATTTGTTCTCATGAGTTTCCATGTCCAATTCTCCTACCTGCCCTAAAGCAGTAGTAGGGATGAAGCCACATCACTGTGAACTATGAGGGTCTTTGAGATGTTGGCTTCTACACAGTTCTGCTAGAGGATTCCTTAGTTCATGAGTCTCTATCCCTGGGTTTTCCCTGACTCTCCCTCTGTCAGTGAGTTTGGGTTTCCTTAGAAACCCTGTGAACCATTGGCCCTGACTGAAGCCTAGCACAGAATGGAATGTGGACCCCAGAATATTTGGCTCCCTTATTTTGGTGTAAGCATAAGAGAATCTGGAAGGAATCAACTGACCATCCATTGTGTTTTCTTCACAGAGTGGCTTCACCCCGCTTCACATAGCTGCCCACTACGGGAATATTAACGTGGCCACGTTGCTGTTAAATCGAGCGGCTGCCGTAGACTTCACCGCACGAGTGAGTACATGGAAAGGAACTATCACATCTCCAGATGACTTTGATGACTCATTGCCCAGGCTCAGGAATGGGCTGGGGCATGGCCTTCCAGTCACTGGGAAATTGGACATATTGTCTTACCTGGCATATTTCTTGTTATTACATAGACATGCTTGTTTCCTGACGGGCAAGGTAGACATTGAATGGGAGTATATGTCAATGGGATGGATCGCAAATAATAACCTTTCATAGAGAAAATACATGTAATTGCAATTCCCACCTCTGAAAACCATGGACAGTTCTCCAAGTGAAATATTCTAGAAATGTTAGAAACTGTGCAATTGCATGGGTATGAGAGTGGCTCCCAGGGTCTCACCCCTCACCTGACTGAGGAGCTATTGACAGTTGATGGTGACCGGGTGAAGGAGAGTCATTTTCCCCTGAGACTGTGGCCACTGTAGGGTTACCCATGTTCCAGTGGATAGCCCCAAACCCATGTACACAGGTAGCATTAATTTAACTCAATGGAGTATTTTTAAAGGGGGCATGAAGATAGTGGACAAATACATTGAAGGGATCCAAATAAAGTTGGAGGGGGAAGTCAGGGTGTGGTTATGATCGTAACGTATTGTATGTAGGGGTGAAACTCCTTGTGTTTGGTTGTAAGTTTACTATCTGTAAAGTGAACTAGTTTAAATCATAAAAGGAAATATGAGCCATAATAAAGGGATATCAACTCACTATGGAGTCACAGAAAGTTCCAGCCAGAACACCCCCACGTACCAACATACCACACCTGGGGCATTTTCCTTCCAGCAAGCTCGTCTTCTTGAAGGATGGGGTGAGGTGAGTTGGGATGTAAGGCCAGTACTAGCTGTATAGCACTCAAAGTAAAATTACCTTTGAAGTAGTTAGAAGGTGGGCAGTGCTAGGCCAAGCATTATATCTCAAGAAGAAAAGCCTAATTCATCCCTGTTTGACAGGCCAAGTAGGCTTAGCCCTGATTCTTTAGCCAGTGGTTAAAAGAGGCAAGATTTTTGACTCAGAAAATGAAATCACTTACTTTAACTCCCTTATCTAACTTAAGGCAGTTGAGCAGTCTTCTCTTTTTCCCAAGACAGGGTTTCTCTGTGTAACAGCCTTGGCTGTCCTAGAACTCACTCTGTAGACTAGACTGGCCTCGAGCCCACATAGATCCTCCTGCCTCTGCCTCCCGAGTGCTGGGATTAAAGGCGTCTTCTGCCACCACCAGTTGGCCAGTTTTCTTATGGTTCATTAGTTTCGGAAAAAGTAGTGAGCTTTCAGGTAGCACCAGAATAGATTCCACCCACTCAGGCCATCCATTTAATAAAAGCCTTTGTTGGTTTGAGTGGTTGGAAAGAGTTACTTCTCCTCATTTGGAGTTCTGCGAGTGATCCCAGTTGGCTCCAAAGCCAACTTTGGCTCTCTGAAGGACAACTTCTGAGTGCTTCTTTAAGGCAATATGAACACCAAAGACCATTTCTGGGTTCATTCGCATAACTCACAGGACAATCAAAACCTCATTAAGCCTCATCTTCTAATTAGGACTTTGGAAAATCCAAATTGGAATGGCTTTGAAGTTGGCCTCTACCAATTGTTGAGAAATTGTCCATGGCTGCTGAAAATAAGTTTAGATTTGCAGGAATGCTTAAGCAAATGCAGAGAAAATGACAGTATTGTCACACTCCTTTAGGCGACCTGAGTGTATCCATTTCCCTCCCTACAATGACTGCACTCATTATGAGTGATGATCCCTTATTGAGTAAAGATCACTGGAAACCTCAGACCTGTCTGTTGACCTCACACGCATCACCAAAGTATTGCAAAAAAAATTACACTTGTGTTGGTATGAAATATGCCACACTTGCTGCTTTTGACTGGATCTTAAAGCCATCCTCTGCAGCCTATCCCAATTGATGAGGCCTCCAGCACCATGTGGTGAAGGCTGTACTGCCGTTCGCTTATATATTACATATAGGAGCCCTGCACTCTTGCTTACTCCCAGCAGCCTCTGTATCTCTTTGTTGACTGTGCTGGCTGGCTGACTTTAGGGTGTCAGAGAAGCCTCCTTAGGAAGAGCTTACCCATCTTACACCCCAAATTCCTAGTAACTTCCCATTAGCAGCCTGTCATTTTACTAATGTGGTGTACAGGGGTCTCTGCCTGCCTACGTTCAGAGGCATATTCCGTCATGAAGCAGGTAAAAGTTGCAGTTAGGCTTACAATCACTTTGCTCAGAGCAATAAAGGGGGAAAGTTTGGTTTCACTGACTAAGAACTGGCCGCAAATTATAACCATAAGTCACAGAATAAGAAGCAGGTGTAGATGGTGGGGTAGGAGATATTTAGGGGTATCACACTGCGGAAGCTCCCTCTGTCTTTAGGGAGAGGTTAGGGTTCTGCTTTTTTACTATGACTGGGTATGGTAGAGGATTGAACTGTGGCAGATTTAGGCTGGTGGCTGTTGGCAGCACTGCAGGCTGGGGAGGAACATGCTACCTCCTGAAAGTCCTGGCAAATGGGATCCAAGACAGCCCCTGCAGGTGTAGATGTTTCTGAAACAGACGAGGGACAGAAACAAACCAGTATGACCAAGGAGGGGCAGATGTGGACCCCAGGAGCAATTCTGACAACTCCAGGGCAGGACATGCCCACATTCCGTCATCACAGTTCCCAGACTTGCGCTTTGTAAGTTTTCATTTCTGCATTGTGGCTTTGCCCCGTGTTATAAACTGCCCCAGCTGGCACCTTCAGCACTTCCTTTTGTATGATCTGTGCAGCTCACCCACGCCATCCCTGGGTCCCCTACAGGAGAACTGCCAGAGGCTGCAGCACAGTGTCAGCATTTTGCAGCCTGAACTGAGTCAGCCATGACAGCTTTGACACTACCGGAATGTATGCATGACCCTTGCTGTCATAGCAAGTCCTCCCTCTCTTGGGGAAGAGATTGTAACTGAGACACTCCAGAGGCCCTCCCTGCTGATTGTCATTCCAGGAAGGAGCACTTCTGCACTGGGGTGACGAAAGGCCAAATCCCATTAAGTGGATGTTTGTCAAGTCTCATATGCTGTGGTGCTTAGCACATCCTGGTCTGGCCCCTGAAAGGGTTAGAGATTTGTTGTAGAAGATTCCAAGTGGTTTGCAGACTAGAACAGGCAGAGTATCTCTACAAGGATTGAATAGAAAAGGAAAGGGTTTGTTGCCAGGTGACTGCAATTAGTTGGGGAGTAAAATAATATAACAAATGTAGACTTCAAACCTTTAATATATGTAGATGTATACATGGAGTATGGATTATATAAATACAAAAGTACTTTTATTTTATTCCTATTATTAATTCAATTCTTCAGCAATTTCATACATATATGCATATATATATATATCATTATAAATGTTGGCAGTGAGCATTGGTGTGCAAGGATCTCTGTGGTATTGGAGTCCTGTTCATAAATACTAGCAGTGGTGTATCTGGGTCGCGTGATAGATCTACTTTCCATTATTTTGAGGACCTTGGAGCCCAAACAAGAATCCAGAACTCTTTATTCCACCCCTGGGCTGCCATAGCCACTCATGAGTGTGGCTAATTTTAATTTAAACCGAATTTAAAATGCATATCCCTTGGGCTGAGCATGGTGCCCCACACAGCAGGTAGAGTCAGGCAGAGTTCGATGTCAGGGTGATCTACATAACCAGCTCCAGCCAGCCAAGGCCACATTGTAAAACTCTCTCTTAACATGTCATGTCCTCCTTCTCAAGAACATTCCAGGTGTTCAACACTTGTCTATGGCAAAAGGTTTGTGTAATACACAGCGCAGATATGTAACACTTTGAGGCTGACAGAGAAGATGAAAACAGAGCCCCTAACCCCAGTTCCACATCACAGGGGTGGGGGTAGTTGGGGGTGGGTGACACAGGGACCTCTACATGTCACCTGCCTCTCCGGGAAGGTGTTTGCTCCCTGCCCTGTAGGTTTCCACTCTTCCCTCGTCTTCGAACATCACGTTAACTGTGATTTTGTCCATTTTGCATGTTCTGTTGCTGTCTATATTGTGCCCTGTCTGTAGTCCTGTACTTTAGAGATCCCTGCTGTCCATAGCTTCTCTCTGCTTCCCAGACATCTCTCCACACCAGCCTCAGTGCTGTTGACTTTGGCAGGAGCTTCACCCTCTCAGCCTTCCAGGGCAGAACTCACTATGCCCAGTGAGTGTGCTGCTTATGACCACAGCTTCTTTGAAGATAAAAAAGCCATTTATCTGAAAAAACCATTCCTCACTGTTCTGAAAACAAGAGAGCAGGGTGTTTTGGTGGCCAGAGAGCCCTTTGTCTCCCTGCTGTGGCCAGGCACCTTTGGCATACCAGCATACCAATGGAGTCACCAGAAGGTTCTGTAGCATTCCATTCAAGGGAGGGGCTGGCTCTAAGTGTGAACAGCATCAAGAAACCCCCACACACACACACCCAACCCCTTTTCCTTCCTTTCTTCTCAAGTAGAATTTATGGCAACAGTGATCTTAAAGCTATAATTAATTAAGCATGTGCTAAATCCCTTCTTCCACATTAGGCTTTTTAAACTTAATATCTCAAAGATATATGAGGACTGGAGTGTAACAAAATATATTGACAGCATCCTCCAATGCCCTGCTGTACACACATGAGATTTTGAATTTCTCAAGGTCAGGTCTGTGTTCTGTTGTGTGTTAATGGAGTCTGTGGAGTAGATAGCTCAGAAACCTGGTCACAGGACAGACTCAAGATAAAATTGCAAAATTTGAGGAAGAATGAAGACATTACTTACAGGTTTCCTTGCCCATTGCATATGGGCAGATGTTGTTCTCAAGCCCAGTTCTTTCTCAGCTCACCAAACTCCCGTTGCTTCAGCCTCTAACATGTTTAGACTCATTAGCCGCCCCCCAGCCAAGATCAGCGGGAGGAAGGCTGCCATGAGAGTCAATGGGATTCCACCGAGATGTTCACCACTTAGGTTTGGTGAAGGACAGGTGC